GGGGGTGGTGGGAGGTACCACCACTACCACGTGGATTATGTGCAGCCTAATTTGCATTGATAAATTGACCAGCTGCATCAGTAGTATCTGAAATTAATGACCATGACCATGCATGATCATGGTAAAGGACCACGTTTTAAGCTTGAATAACTTGCTTCTAGACTCATACTAGTTTTTCTTTGTCTATCCCAAAATAATATCTGCTATGTACAGGAAAGTAAACATACTTTTACATTTCTATTATGTGAATAATTTGTGAACATTATCAACTGATCTTCAGATCCTGTGTAAAATTTTACAGAAGAATGAAACCTGGATATACTGCTCGCAAATAATCTAGTAAGTAGTCATATTGTGCTGGCCAAAAATGAATGGAAGATAATGATCACAAGATATTCTGACAGGTTTCTTGTCTATGACCTGGAAGTTGAAAGTTTGAGGATTTGAAGCATCTTCTTATTGCCAGGGAATCTACTTTTTTAAACCTTATTTTCCACTGCTTCATTTACCTTCTACAGAAGGTTGACTTGCGCAAATCTAATGAGTGGATCATATACCAGTTGGAAAACTACTACCTCTTTCCATTTTTAAAATTGCGCAAAGCCATGACAAGTTGTTGCCTTTCACCTTCTACCTCTGCAAATTTAAGACTTATTTCTGAATATCTTTCTTGCATGTCCTTCAATTCATGCTCCATGTGTTTGTTTCTCTCAGTCAATAAAGCTACTTGACCTCGTAATTCTTCAGGATCATGTATATTTTGGGATTGACCATTGATCGTTTCTGCCACTCTTCCTGAATCAACTTCTCTTCTGCAGAAGGAATATAAAATTAAATTCTTTTTCTTCTTTATCCTTCCATATAACTGCAGTTTCTCACTGTTGACAAATTTGTTTGAATAGATGCTAGCAATGCTGCAATGGTTCAGTAAAAGTTCTATTGGTTTACCTTGTTATATTAGCAATTTTTCTTGATCCATTCTGCACAATTCCTCCTTCTGTAAAGCCATTTCCTTGGTGATGAATGTTCTTCCCCATACATTTTCTTCCTCCAGCTACAATACTATCCTGAGTTGCTTCTTCAGGTGGTTCATCCTCCTGTATGTCAAGATCAGCAGTTCCTTTAGAAATATAGTGATGCTTTCTGAAGCCTTTTTGTGAGTCTTTTGCTAATCGGAGTCAAAAACTCGAATGAGAATACAGGAATCTTAGGTGTAGAAAACTTGACAGAAATGTCAACAAGTTGGTGTTCAGTGGAATCAACTCCTTATGTCTGTGAATATGTTACTTCAAATCTAGGTCAATGGTTTAATGGTTTTTAATGGACTCTCTTTGTTCTATATGAATTGACAATTTAACTTGGATGATGATGAAATACGATTTTGCTTTCATGCAATATTTATAGTTGTAGAAGAAAGATTAAGGTACTAAGAATTGTTAAGTTTGTTGAAGCTCTACAGGAACATTGACTTCATACTTATATACGAACCTGTTCTGTGAATATGGACTTTTGGAACATGCAAAACGTCTGTAGGTTATCAGTATTTGTAGTAGTATCTAAAAAGGATGTGTATCATAAAAAAATGAGAGAGAATTTTCTATCAACCTGATGAATGCTTATACTACCTAGAGTTAGTGAAAGTCATCATTATGATTCTTTGAATTTAATTCACCTCTAGGCATTGAATATCATTGTTGAAGAAAGGGATACATTAGAGCATTAAGAGAAACAGTTTCTTCTCTTTTCAGGTCTTCTATAATTTAATGAGTAATCCCATAAAGTTTTAAATGTCTAACTTTTTTATTAATGCAAAGTACCTGTTCCTGTAATTTGAGCACCAGCTTCATCAGGTTCTCATTCTCCAACTTCAGTTGATTTGTACTGCATCTCATTTCGTCATTCTGTAGGTGTAGTTTCTCTACTTCTGATTGTAAGGTTTCTTCAATTATCTTCTTTTCATCCACTTCAGTCCTCAAGGGAATCAATTCCTCCAGAAACATTTCTGCTTCCCTCCTCACTGAAGCTAGTTCCCTCTCCAATTCCTTTTGCATGGTCAATTTTTGCTCTACCTCTATTTCAGCAGTTGATTTTTCCATTTGCTCCGTATCATATCCGACTTTTTCTCTATGCTCCATTTGTTTGCAGTGCTCTGACCCTGCTAGATTTAGCCTTCCTATCTCCATTGATGAAGCTTTCAATTCAAGAACTTCTCTTTCATAATGTTCTTTTGTTGATTTAAGTTCTTCTTCAGATTTCTGCAGTAATTCCTCTAAAATTTTGTTCTCCTCACGCAGAACAGTTGCTTCCGTCACTGCATCATTGACCAGTTCTTCTTTCTCATCAATCTTCAATGTCATTTCATCTGATAGTCTTTTTAATTCTTCCTGAAGTTTCTGAGCTGCCTTAGCATTACTCCACCTTGCCCTTCTCAATCCTTCCTCTGCTTTTATCGCCCTCTGCTCCTGCTTTACTTTGGCTTGGGTGACTGCTTCCAGATGTTCTTCAAATTCCTGCGACTGTGTTTCCAGTTCTTTCTCCAGCATTGAAACATGTGTTTCAAGTTCGTTTATTGTATCCAATGATTTTGAGTACTGTGACGTTTGTGTTTTCATTTCTTCCTCCAGTCTCTCCACCTGGAGTTTAAAGTGCTTTATAGAGGCTAAAGATTCTGAGTGTTCTTGTTGTGTTTTCAGGTTTTGCAGCTCACATTGCTCTAGGTTATGATTAATATCATCATTTTCCTTTTCCAATACTTGGCAATGGCTTTCAAGCTGGTCCATTAGTGCTTTCATTTTATTGTTATCTCTCTTGTAGACCTCTATTTCATCTTCCAACACTTGGCAATGGCTTTCAAGCTGGTCCATCTGTGCTTTCATTTCATTGTTGTCTTTCTTGTAGACCTCTATTTCATTTTCCAACACTTGGCAATGGCTTTCAAGCTGGTCCATCTGTGCTTTCATTTCATTGCTGTCTTTCTTGTAGACCTCTATTTCATCCTGTAATTTTTCAATTGTCTGCTTCAGTGATTGAGATACATCTGCAAATTTAAGCTCCTTAGCTTTTCTATCTTCATTCTGACCAATCTTTAGTTGGGTTCTCTCCGCAGCGGCCTCTAGCAAATCCTTATTGGACCTAACTTTTTCAGAAAGATACGAAATATCCTTATCTTTCTGGTCCAACATTTTGTTGAGATCTCTTACTGTAAGAATCAATTCAGAATTTGAGTCTTCCGTCTTTTGCAGCTTCAGCATCAATTTGCTATTGAAGTTCTTCTCTTTCTGAAGTTTATGCCTGATTTCTTCCAATAGAGCTGTCGATTTTTTGTCATCTGCTCCTGCATTATCTGAAGCTACTGCATCCACCTCATCTGTACATCTCAGTTTAAGTTTCTCACATTTGATTTTAAGAACATCTCTCTCTTCTTTTAGATTAGAAATTTGTCTTGACTGTTCCTGTGCCCTTTTGGTTTCTTTCACAATTTGCTTTCTGAGTGTCTGTAGTTCCATTTCTGACAATTCTGCCTGACGCTCGAGCATTATGATCTTATTTTTCATGGACTCAAAACT